GTTATATATTTTCATAAATTTTGGAATGTTTGCTAAAAATATTAAACAAATGCTTTTCAAGATTCCTTACTATACAATGAAATTGTATTATAGATTAGGGCCTCCAACAAATGCTGTACCAATATAACCCCCCACCCCCCACACACATTTGCTGATAAAAAGTAATTGCGTTATTTTTAGTAAAAAAGTTAAATGTTAATTTTGTTAAGGGACTTTAAAACTTATAAAATGTGGTATAAAAAATAATAATTTTTGTTTCAAGTTTTTAAAAATCGTTTTTCTCATTCAAATATTTTATTTAAAAACGTTAAAGCACTTAATGTTTACGAACTCAATGACTATAAAATTTTATGTTTTATGTTTAGTTGTAAAAATAATCAACATTGTTCAATTTCAAATATCTTTTTACCCATAAAGCTATAAACAAATATACTTTACGAAATAATAATTTAATAATTGAACCCTTTTGTCAAACAAAGTTTAATCTTTGCATAAACTATCAAGCATTTATGGAACAAATTGTTGTTCCAAATTTTGTTTTTTTTTAATTTCGTTTTCCGTTTTTAAAACTAAATTAAAAAACTATATTTTTTCTACTGGCAATATATATAAATATTTTTGAAATGTAAATTTTTTTTCACTCTGGATAATTTGTAAAATTATTTTCAGTTTTTGTTTATTCTACATTATTAATAGTTATTAGATCAATTGTATTTTTATTTTATTATATATACACGTATGATAAATTTTTTATATGGTTCTGGCGACAAGATCATTTGGATCTTCTTTCAGATATCAAGTTTAAATATTGTTATGGTGTTATATAACGATTAATAATTGTAAACTAAAAAATAAATTCAAAAAATAAATATGCAACGTGCACCTGAGCCTTACTTGATTTGAATAAGACAATTTTTGTTTCCAATTCAAAAGTTTAGGTTTTGTTTTTTGAGTTGTGCTTCAACCGCAGTTTTACTAGCAACAGCCTGCTTAACAGTCTTAGGGCTCTTTTGTATAAAGAAATGTATAAACCGAAATTAAAGCACAGAGTTATTGCGATTAAAAAAAAAAATATTTTTACATTAGAAAAATTTCAAAAAAATACTCCAACAAAATCAATGAAAAATTAATTTTACATTTAGATGACTGTAAAAATAATTTATTTACAAAAAAGTAAGTAAAAACTTTAAGCTAATATTTAGAATAGAGATGCCACAAATATTCAGTTGCTGTTTGGTATTTGGCCTATTCGGCCAATTTTTTTTCAATTCAAAATTTGGCCAAATATTGCAAACTATTCGACCGAATACTAAATACCGATCGCAACCAACAAAATTATATTTAAATATTATTTGTATTTTTTATTTTAACAAATAATTTGCATATTTTAAACATAAAATTTACAGGTGGTAAGTTATCATTAAAAAATTTTGATTGTTTCATGATAGCAATGATATCCAATTTGAAGTGAATAGTTTCATGTAAAAACTAATTTCATTTGCAATTGGACTTTTCTTTTTTACATCTTCATTTGTGTGCATTTTTTTCTGAAGAAATGAAGGCATGCGTAGTATAAGTTTTAATTTGTCCGACAAAAAACTATGCATGCTCACGTGATTATTTTTCCTTCCCTTATCCCGTTCCCATAGAAAAACGGATGAATAAAAACTCACCTTAAGGCCAGTAGCGTAGCAAAGAGCTTACAGGGCCCGCTGCCGCGGGAAGGCCTAGAGTTTTTTTAGAGCCCAAGCCAAATTTTTCAAAATTTCAAAAAAGTTGTCATTCTTAAAAATAATATGCATGTATATACATAGCAACATTAACAATTTTTGCTTCTATTATAAAGCTAAGAACTACAAACTCTTTTTCAGACAATTTTTTTAGCTTTAATAAAAATCTTAACTAATACTTCAAGTAGTGAGCTTTTTATTTAATTATAACTGAAAAATTAAAACAAACTGTATTAACTCATAAATATACAATTTAATTAAGTGGAAAGTATAATGTCATAAGGTTTTAAAGCAAAGTTCAATAGTCAAGCTATTGTATTAAAAAATTACTCAGTAGAAAAAAATTATTGCTATAGGGACGTCGAGGTGGCAATGTAGCTGGCAATGTATCTTCATTACTGATGTATTTATCTCTCATGAAGTTAATTAGTTCTATAAAACTTTTCTCAAACAAGTTTTCGTATCTGTAAAAGTTAACAATAACAACATACTTATCTAGGTTATACACAGACCAAATAATGCTAATTTAATATAATATATTGCTGAATCCTTCAAATTAGCTCATAGCTTAATTAGGAAGCCCTATGATGCTTGCTTTTGTATGATGATGGTTGCTTCATTGTCGGTATTAAGAAAGTATGATCCTTAGGTTACTCCGCATATTAAAAAACCTCCGAGCAAAAAAATCTGCTTGCTATATCAACTGCTCAAATAAATGGAAGAATAATAAACTTTAAATAAACTGCTATCTTCTTCATCGTTCCGTAAAAATTGAAATATTTAAAGCAAAAAGAGCATTTAAAAAAGAAATAATATTAAAACTCCTCTCAATAATTTCAATCAATAAAAAAGTGACTTGGGTTTTTCTATTTCAGACATTATTAACTTGTAAATCTAAATCCTTATAAATATTTTCTCTATTTACAAAAATTTTTCAAAAATTCTATAGTTCTATAATACTATAGAATCTAGAACACTCTCTAGAAATTAGCAAACTTTAGTTCGGTCTATAAAAAAACGGTCTATAAAAAATTACTTGGTGAAAACTATCGACCTATTTAATTTAACTCTGTTGCTTGCAAAATAATCAAAATACTTATTAAAAATAATATCTTTAAGCAATGGACTTCCAGCTTAAGACACCTTTATTATTAAGACTAAGAAGGTTAAATCTAACGTCATCGACTTAGTGCTTTTGTTGGGGCAGCAATAAGCTTAGGGTTAGAAGAAATTTTCCTTTCATTTTTTTCCCGGATTTTACACATTGAAAATTTCCGCATTTTTGCATGTTACCCGTGTTCACGATAACATATTGTGGTATAAATTGCTCGTTTAAAAATATAATAGCAGTATTTATGTTATACTTGACATTACCCATTAACTTAGCAACTACAAAAAGATCCTTAAGCACATTAAAACACATTTACAGACAACAATGGAACAAATCAATGTGCACTAGACCTAATAGCTACTGAAGCAGAACAACTGAAGTACTGAAGTAGCTCAACTAAATTTAAAAGGTGTAATAGACCAATTTGCAGCTATAAAGGCAAGAAAAAAACTTTCATTAGATTTTCTACTTATCATACTTGCATAGTATTACATGTTGGTTTCTATTTAATTAAACTAAAATTGTATTAAAAATAAGGTTTTTGTTTTCATGAATAATTTTTATCAAGAAAAGTGAAGGGGGGGGGGGGGGGGGAAGCAGAAAAGTAATTTAGTGGCCCGGAATAAAATTTTGCGGGAAGGCCTATTTTTTATCGCTACGCTACTGCTTTAGGCAGCATTTTCAGTGCGTATTTTCCAACCAACTTTCGGTATGTTCAATAAAAAGTTAACTCTCGTTATGTTTAATAAATTATCGGTATGTTTTTGGTTTTATACCGAAGCTACCCGTCGTATAAAACTAAATTTCAGATTGTATTTGGATAATTTTTGACTTTTAGTTTCGTTAATTTAAAATTAGTGTTTTTAGTAATTGTTTTAATTTTAACTTTAACAAATGCTCTACTAAAAATATAGATTTTGAATAGTTCAATGAGCCATTTTATGGCTAGAGTAGAGGTCTTAACATACTTCTGAGTTTTATAAAAAATATCATTTTATAAAACTCAGAAGTATGTTAAGAAAATTTAAAACTTTACAATACCACAATCTTGTCTACATAATTTTAAAATCTTAAAATATAAAAATCATCTCTGCAGCTTAAGTATTTAAAAAGTTGTCCAATTTTAAAAATGCAATTATCATATATAAAAAAGTTATAAACGCATATTCATTCGATTTTCAACAAAAAAATCTTTTTAACTTTTGTCATGCAATAAAAATTAATATACCAAATTTAGAGAATTTTTTTTGGTCTTTACATAATAAAAATAAATTACAAAATTACGTTTATATAAGAAAACAAGAGCTTCTAAATACAAACAAGCTCTAATTAAGATACCGTGTAATAAAGCAGCAGTGGCACATTGGTTAGAGTTCTGTGATAAGACCGATAGGTCTTCTTGGATAATAAATAAAAAAAGATAAAAAAAATTAAAAAAAAAAATTACGGATGATTAAAGTTGTCACAAACTTTTCGTAGATAAGTTTAATCATCCGTAAAGTCTGTAATAAAATAAATTTCTGAAAAATATTACGGAAAAAATTGTCAAGCTAAATAGCACAGGCCTTGATCAAACAAATTTAAGGTAAACAAACTATAGAACTTTAAATATAGTTAATAAGTTAAAGCATAAAATATTAGGAGTTAAGATATAATTTATATTTCGTTTGTCGTTTGAAAAAGTAAATGCTAAAAAGCTTTTTAATTTTATTTTTCAATTGATTCCATTTTGACCGTCTCTCGTAATTGAAAAAATTGACACCTGTGGTTTTACTATCCCAGCACAATAACTGCCTTTGGTATTTTAAAGGTTGAGATATATTAAATGTGAATTATTTAGGGAACATGCAAACAATATATCGTAATTTTGTCGTTTATTTGTCGAATTTTTGTCGAGTTTATATTGTTTAAATACTAATTCGATAATAATATAACTTTAAACATATAAAACTTTTCTTTATGATTAAAAAAAAAACTCTTGTTTTGAATGCTCTTTTTCATTTAACTTTTGTTAAGAAAACTTTTGTTTTTCATTTTGCTATGTTAATTATTTATTTTAATTTCTTTTTTTTTTTTTTCCACGAGAAATTAATAATTCAGATATACTCAATTTATTTTCAAAAATCATTTAGAAAAATATTTCGTGCAGATATATTTATATATATATGTAAAATGTTTTTCGAAATTTTGCAGTTATGTTGTTAAAGTTGATGTTTATTCAACATGGAGTCATATTTTTAATTCTATGTTTAGTGAGTAAATCATTCTGTATTCATATAACAGGTTATGTAGGAAATCTTATAAAGCACAATTTGAGGAATTATTCGCCACATTGGTGCAACGAGACAAAAATTGAGGTAAACATTATAGTTCAAAATACTTATGCTTTATCATTACACTCAAACTATATAAATTATCATTTTATATATTTATAATAAAATACAGCTTAGAAGTGTCTACAAAAGTGACGCGCAAAGTGTTTACATAAGAGAACTCGTGTTTGATGGTACATACATTACAATTCTTGCACAAGAACCTTTGCAACTTGATTTGTTAGTTGTATATTTGCATACATTTTACTTATACACAAAGATTTGTTATGCCATTGAAGTAAAAGTTATAATTCAAAGCTACATGTCAAGTCTTCAGAGTATACTCTTTAGCCACTTAAATTACTTTAAATTAAAAGAAAGTAAAAAGTTTCTAGAATGTAAAAAATTTAATCAAATATATATTCAGACATTTGAATATGCCTCTAATGAAACATTACCATTGTCAATTTTACTCATGCAGTCAAATCTGTTAGTAGACTTTTTCAAATTCCCTGAAAACCTTCTTCAAGTTCTTCCGACAAATAATTCTTATTCGTATTTTAATCAGCTCAGTTCATTAGATGTCATAGAATCAAATGTTTTAAGACCAATGAGTGAGGGCTACATGTTTTCGTGGCCAATCGGCTGTCAACACAACAGTCACATTTCACGTGTTTTTCGAAGGAGCGTTAAAAAAATTATTGAACCAATACCAGAACTTTCATTAACTGTTTGTTATATCACAAAAGGTTATTTTAAAGAGAACATGGAGCTTTTTTTTGGTTCAATAAGTGCACTAGTTGGAACACCAATTGAAACAACTTCAGCAAGTTTTCAAGAGTATTCTCCATCTTCAAGTAAAATTTTACAAGAAACTTTCAATAAAGTTTCTATTACTTTGTTTACATCTCAACTTTTATCTAAAGTAAGTACGAATATAAAAATATTGAGCAGTTTTATAAATGAGAGCTTTTTCATAAATTTTATAAGGTCCAGTTTACTCGAAGAAACTTTTATATCAAGTATTAGTATAAATAGCACTTCACTTTCTACATACTTTGGATCTTCATTTAGAGACCCGGTCATAACAGCATTTAATTCTTTGAGTGGTTTCAATGATATGATAAGTGTTTCAGAGTTTTTTTATCCATCCAACTCTTTTGATATATCAGATTATTTATCAAGTACTGATGTCGCAGACATTAGAAGTATTTTTGTTTCAAAAACTACAAGCAATGATAATGCAGAAACTAAAAGTACTAATGTTACAGAAAATAGAAGTTTTTATGTAACTCACATAAGTAGCACAGTTAGTTTTTTTACTGATAATTATTCAAATCCGTTATCTAGTAAAACTAGTTTATATATGACAGATAGTCTGGATTCTAATTTAGATTTCAACATTAGGTCTAACATAATGCCATCATTTTATGAACCAAATAGTTATAGTGCAGCAACGGCCCAATTAGACTACAATTCAACTGTCAATGTTAAATTACCAACACCAGAATTGTCAACATTGAATAATATCAAGAAGGTTTTACCCACGTTTTCTACAGTTCCAAATGCTATAAATGATTCTATAATTTCAAGCGTATCTCATCAAACAACATTTCATGGCGCTGATACAGCATTTAGTATTTATTCATTAGACTCATATTCAACAACACTTTCTGGAAGAGAGATAACAACAGAACATAATTCTTTGAAGCAATTTGGCAGCAAAGAAATAAATAAAGGAAGTCTACCTTTTATCACTTCATCAACTTTGTTTAGCACAAATGTAGATACTTTTCTAACAACTTCTTTGATAACATTTCTAAACATAAATTTAACGGCAGAAACTCCATCTCTAGCCACTTTTTCTACAAGCAGCCAAGTGTTATCAGAAAAATCTTTGCTTATAACAAGTTTTTATTCGCCAGTAAAAACTTTATATTTTAGTACTTCCTCTAAAATATTTCAGAACATAGCAACAACATCATCTTACTTTCCTATGACTTCTTGGGCAACATTTGTCGAAACATATTTAACATCAACGATTTTTGCTTCAAAAACATATCAGAGTACATATTTAGTCAAAAAAACTCCTTTGCTTAGTTCTAGTTTTATAACAAAAAACAATTTAACTGTAAAAACCGATTCTTCTGAATTATTTTTTAGCATAATGTCAACTTTTTTTCTGTCTCTTTCTGCAAAAACTGGTTTGTATTTAACAGAAGAATTATTTTTAATCAACCCATCTACAACATATCCTTTGTTATCAAAGTCATTTACTTCAACTCAAACTTTATATTTTACAACAAAACTCAAAAGCACAGATTTGACAATCACAAGTTTTTCATTAACTTTTCAAGATTTATCAAAAAATACTCAGTGTTCTGTATTTTCTAAGTTTACCGACATGCATGTAACTGCCGAAACTCCGTATCCAACTTTATCTTCTACAATGTTTTCCGACATATACGTAACTGGAGAAAGTCTTTATCCAAACTTATCTTCTATGGTGTTTTCTGACATATACGGAGCTGCAGAAACTCCGTATTCAACTTTATCTTCAACGATGTTTTTTAACAAATACACAACTGGAGAAAGTCGTTATTCAAATTTATTTTCTATGGTGTTTTCCGACATATACGGAGCTGCTGAAATTCTGTATTCAACATTATCTTCAACGATGTTTTCCGACAAATACACAACTGGAGAAAGTCGTTATACAAATTTATCTTCTGTGGTGTTTTCCGACATATACGGAGCTGCTGAAACAATGTCCCCAAATTTATCCTCTACGAAGTTTTCCGACATATACGTAACTGGAGAAAGTCTTTATCCGACTTTATCTTCTATGTTGTTTTACAAAGTATATGAAGATACAGAAACTCTATATCCAACTTTATCTTCTACAATGTTTTCCAACATATATTTAAATGCAGAAACTCTGTACCCAACTTTATTTTCTACAATATTTTCCGGTATATACGTAACTGCAAGCACTTCGTATTCATCGTTATCATCTGCAGTTTTTTCCAACATATATGCAATAATAAAACCTCCACATCCAACTGTATCTTCCACAACGTTTTACGAAATAAGTATAACAGTAAAAACTCTATATCCAACCGTATTTTGTACAATGTATTCAAATAAAAATGTAACAGAAGAAACTCCGTACCTATACGTCCCTTCTACAATGTTTTCCAACATATCCACGGAAACTTCGCATCCAGCTATATATCTTGCAACGTCTTCCTACAAATATTTAACAATAGAAACTCCGCATACAATTGTATCTTCAATAATGTTTTCCGGCATATACGAAACAGTAGAAACTATTTATCCATCCGTTTCTTCTGCAACAATTCCTGAAATAAATGTAACAGTAGAAACCCCAAATCAAACTATAAGTTCAACAACATTTTATGACGCAGGTTTAACATCAAAAACTAGTTATTCAAATCCATCAAAAATATCTTTAAGCAAATATTCACCTGGAGAAACATTTACTACTTCTTCGAAAACATATATAGAAACGCATTCAACAGCAGAATGTTTCTCTTCTTATTCAACAACACCATGTGGCGCAGATTTACCAGTGGAAACTCCATTTCTATATTTAACAATGTTTCAAAATACTTTAACTGCAGAAACTAATTATAAAGCAAGTTTTCAAGAGATATTTTATAGCGCTAATTTAACAGCTCTTTCTCTTTGTGTTTCTTTGATCGAATATACAGATAGATCTTTGATCGAATATACAGATAGATCTTTAATAACAGAAACAGATTTTCTTGTATCAACAACATTTTCAAGCTTTTATCCTATATCAGATAGTCAGTCCTTGTTAGATACTTCTTCTTTAACAGGCATTTCGTCTTTGGCAGATACTACGCCATTAAATGCTTTTTCAAACATATTTTTTATCTCAGATTTAACAAATCCGTTTTTATCCAAATGTGCAATAACTGCAAACGGGATTGATTTAACATCAAAAATTCCATGTCAATCCATTGCTTCAACAACTTTTGTAAATTTAAAAATCAGTTCAAGTTTAAGTTCAAATTTAACGGTAGACAATCAGATGCTAACTTATTCGTTTTTAAAAAGCACAAATAAAGATACTTTGTATTTTACTACTTGTATGAAAACATACCAGAGTACATATTTAGAATCGGAAACTCAATTCTTATTATCAACAATATGTCCTAATAATGATTTAACAGTTTACTCTCAAACACCAGCAGATAAATTACTTAATAGCATAAATCCAGAAAAATCGTATCTACCTGTTTCTTTGACAAAGTTTACGAGTTTATATATAAAGAAAGATACCTTGTTTCCGACCGCTTCTATAATAATATCTCTTGACATATATTATATAACTGAAAGTTCTATAGCAAAAACATACTGTACAAGATTTAGAACTACCGATTTTAGTGTAGAGTCTCTGTATCAATCAAAATCTTTTATAATATTTCCTGACACATATTCAACATTGGAAGTTAAAAACTCTTTAACCTATTCGACATCTTATTTACCAACCTATTTACCAACCTATTCAGCATTATATTCTGACACTTACTTAACAATGAAAACTCCGTTTTTAACAACTTTAACAATAGTAAGAAACTATGTAACATTAACAACAATGACTTTGTCATCATCGTATTCAACAGTTACTAAAAGCATCAATTTAATAGCAGATACTCCACGCATAACTACCTCACCAGTAACCAACGGAGATGAAACTTCTAAATTTCAAATAGCGCCATCAACAATTCCAGGAGAGGCTATTGGCTTCAGTTATAAAGTATCTGCACGTTCTTCACAAATGTCTATATCTAATACATATGCAACGCCTTTATCTAAAGACAACCGGCCACAGCTTATTAAACCTATTGAATTTCTATTCCCAAAAGTAGGATATTACTTTGTATTCAAAGTGCCAGCTGAAATGTTTATTGATTCAGAAGATGGAAATGTTCGTAACTTGACCTTAAAATGCGTAACCAGTTCAGGAGTATTGCTTGACTCTAACCCGTGGTTAACATTTAATACTACCTTACAACTACTGGAAGGTATTCCATTAACCAGCGATTATTTTAACCAGGAATTAGGTGGATTATCATTACAATTAATTGCTTTCAATTCTCGGAATAATTTCGCTATAAATAATTTTAAAATTTTTATTATAGAAGCTGCTGCTCTTAGATTATCTCTTATTATAACTTTTAAGTTATCCATAGATTATACAGCATTTATTTCCAGAAAAGATCAACGAGTAAAACTTGTTCAAAAAATTTCAAAATATTTTCGTGACTCTGAGTCTTATGTTTACTTATCATCGTTAAGAAATGGTTCTACAATTGTGGATTGGTCAAATACAAGTTTTTTAGAAAATGTATGTGACAACGAAACTATATTAGAATTTATTAAGAAAGTTCAAATACCAAACTCCAATTCTCCTCAGCCTTCATTTTTCTATTTTTTAAGCCCTGAATTCCCGCTTTTAGCTGTAAGCAGTAACGCTCAAGATTTGTGCACAACTTTCCCACAATCCATCAGTCAATCAAAACAGGAAAACTTTTTATTGTATCTTATACCAATAATTTTATTATCTCTGCTTGTTATAGTTCTCATTACGATATTGCTTGTAATATATAAAAAAATTGTTAAACGAAAAAACTATATAAGAAAAGGAAGAGAGTATTGTGAACAACAACCTCCTTTATTCTCTGATAAACTTGATTTGAAATACAGTATGTCTGATAATGATCCATCAATAGCAGTCGTTCCAGATATGCAAACATCATTCATTGGACCATGTGTTTCAAGAAGGGAAAGTGCAAACTTTGATGACGAAAAAAGTTCTATAAGCGAAGACTCCATTGTCAGTATTGTTGTTCCACCATATCCTCCACCGGCATATTTGAGACCATTGCCTTACATAAAAGGAGATAGCAAATAGGATACTTTTAAATATTGTAAAAATTAGATTTTTGAAAAAAATTTGAATTTTTTTTTATTTTTTATTATTGCATTTCTAATTTAAAATTAAAAAAAGTTTTATATTTAAATTTATAATTAAAATAATACTTACAATTAGAAATAAGCTTTTACATTTTAATGGATTTTTTATAGCATCAAACAAATTTAATATCGTCAAAAAATTTTAATACCATCGAACAAATTCAGATAAAGTAGATTTTGTTAAGTAGGTCTTTATTGCAATATCAATATACGACTTTATAGTGTATGAATTGATTGAATTTTTGATTGGAAATACCAGAGTTATAAAAATAATATCATTAGTACACAGTAAATTGATTGAAATTTTGCATGCGTGATGAAGAAGCAGCATGCGCGCTCATATCCCCAATTTCCATATAAATGTTTATAATAGCTTTAAACATATTGTTTTTTTAACTGTTTTTTAATGCGGTAGTATTAGAGCGCTTGCGTCATAAGCAAGAAGTTCCGTGATCGGTTCCCACCACGTCCCTGTTAGTACCGCGCTCAACTTGTTTCCCCGCGCAGCATCCTTGTTCGTTAGGGTTCGTATTTTGGAGTTATAGAGTTGAGAGAGGGTTGTAACCAAAATAATAGTAGCCTCCTCGACTGTAGTGGCCTTCTTGGCCTTAGGGAGGTGAATTAGCATAAAAAAAAAAAAGAAAAAAGAAAAAACTACAAACTTAATGAGTGTTTTATGTTAATTTAAACATGGAAATATTTTTTACATCTTTAAGAAAAAAAAAGTTGTTACAATAGAAAAGACAAAAAAAACTCAACTAAAATGAAAATGTAGGTAAGTGAATTTGTACAATTTAAATAATAACATTTCTTATTAATTTTAAAACAAATATTTTTGTTTTCCAATTTTTGATTATCTTAAATTTTCAAAATTCGCATTTATAGTTTCAGCTTTCATTATAGTTTCTGGTTGTTTTTTGCTAAAAATAACGATCATACTATAAATATAATATAAGTTATATTATACAGGTTGATTTCTTTTACATCAAGTGTCTGCAAAGCGATGATGAACATTATCAGAAATAAAAAAGGAATCATCTAAATGTTCAATAATTTAATCTTAATTCAACAAGAAACATAAATCATTGTTAGTATTTATCATTAGTTTGTAAGCATTTGTCAATAATACTCCGGTTGACATTTTATTTCTGGACTTTACTAAAAAGTTCGATACTGTACCGCATAAAAGATTGAGTACAAAATTAGTATGGTATGGTGTTAGTAGTGATTAGAAAGCTTACGATTTGAAAACTGCAACGGCAACTTCTACAATTTATGATAAATATTTGACACTAGCAATGCGCAATAGGTGGGATTCCCTGAATAGGCGTTTCATGTATTGTTACAATCACAATATTTCTCCTATAAGCTTTAATAATAAGTTTGAGTTAAATAAAAATGATAACTATAATTTTAGAGCGAATATGTTGAACACATATAAACTGCCAAGGATAATAAATAAATATTCAAAATACAGCATTTTATATAGAGGTCCAAAGGTATGAAATATTTTTCAGAAAGAGTTCAAAGGTACGGTGAGTTCGTTAAGTTCATTCAAGTTTTTAACAAAAAAAGAAATCTTTAAAACCGGTGAAACATTTTTTGTTAATAATGCTTTGGATAAATTCTCTTAAATAAGTTTTTGTTTTGTTTCTACTTTTGTTTGTTGCTTGACAATTTTTATTAGCGGATTACGCATTTTTTTATGATATTTTATTGACATTTTTATTTTGTATGTCATAGTACGATATTTTAATTAAATCTTGTAAAAGAGGTTCTATGAAAAGATTGCGATGACGTTCTGTCATCCTCATCTTCTTTGAGTCCCTATCTGTTTACTTACTTTGTTAAATTTTATATTTTGTAGTAGAATCTGTAAAATTCTTATGTTATGTAAACAGAGAAAAAAAGAAAAAAAAAAAAATAAAATAAACAAACTTTTTACGCAACGTCAAAATGTTGAAATTCGTGTTTTCTGAAAAAGGCTTACAACTAGTTAATCAATCATATATATATATATATATATATATATATATATATATATATATATATATATATATATATATATATATATATATATATATATATATATATATATATATATATATATATATATATATATATATATATATATATATATATATATATATATATATATATATATATATATATATATATATATATATATATATATATATATATATATATATATATATATATATATATATATATATATATATATATATATATATATATATATATATATATATATATATATATATATATATATATATATATATATATATGATTGATTAACTAGTTGTAAGCCTTTTTCAGAAAACACGAATTTCAACATTTTGACGTTGCGTAAAAAGTTTGTTTATTTTTTTTTTTTACTTTTTTTCTCTGTTTACATAACATAAGAATTTTACAGATTCCACTACAAAATATAAAATTTAACAAAGTAAGTAAACAGATAGGGACTATATATATATTCTGAAAAATAAATAGATCAAAGTTCTCGATCCTAAAGTGTAATAAAGTAATTATTTGATTTCTCATACAAACTTAGGGTATTTACTTAAGTATAAATATATATATATATATATTGAACTAATGTAGAGAAGAATTTCTAAAAATTGATTTTAACATGCTGTACTCGGAGAAAATTTATGTAAACGGATGGATATTTTAATGTAAAACGGACTGGTGTTCTAAGTAATGTTCTTTAAGAATTATTAGATTGTAAAAGCAGTGCAGAAGATCTCAACAAAATGGTTTAATGGAAAAATAAATGGTCATTAAATTTTAATACTGACAAGATTTGAAAAAGTAATTTAAAAAAAAGTACTTCCTCGCGAATCATTTCAATGATAGAAAATATTTCAACATTTTACAATTCGTCTACTATGGGGATAAGCTACTTTCTATTAGTGTCAAAAATTAAACATTAATTGAAATAAAATGTGGCGTTCCACAGGGTTCTATTCTCGGTCCACTCCTTTTCTAACATTTTTTATACAAATTAACTTATACAAATTTCTAATTGATTCAAATGCAAAAAAATTAACCTTAAACATTTACATCACAAAATGGATTCTTTTTAGTTCCTCAACAAAAGAATGTCTTTTGCCAAAAGATTTGCCCAAACTTTTTATCGATAGAGTAGAAATTAAAAAAGTTTTTTTTATTCCTTGGTATTAATCTTGATGAATATCTGTCATGTCATGTAGCTGTCATGTCATCATGTCATCTGGAAAACTCGTATTGATTATATATTAACAAAAGTTGCAAAAAATCCTATATAAGGCTGGAAATTATTTAAATAAAAATAATTTAAAACAACTATACTACTCATTTATTCATAGCTATATAAACTATGCAATTATTGCCTGGGGTAAACAAGTATAAGTAAGTTTCTGCGTCTTTATCAGGATCATAAACATGCAACGCGCGTAATATATTTTTCAAACCTTTTTTCAAATACGAAACCTTTATTTAATGTTTTAAATCTTTATGAACTTAACACTTACCTTATGTTTTACGTTTTGTTGTATGAATTTTTAACGTTTCGTTCAATAACCCATCATTAAATGTTTTTAAAGATATATGCACCTTTAAAGCATAAGATATATGCACCCTTAAAGCAAAGAATAAATTAGTTTGCGAAAGTTAGTTAGTTTGCGAAATAATAGCTATTTTAACGAGCCCTTTTGTAAAACAAAGTTTAACCAATTTTGTATAACTTATCGAGTACCTCATCTTATAAATAAAGTTGCTTAGCCCAACTTCGATTTGCTCTTTCTAGTTTTTAAAAATAAGTTTAAAAATCTTATTTTTTAAAATTGATAATATATTAAAACATTTTTGCAATATAAATTTTAACCATTTTCAACTATTTTAGATTGCTATTTTGATTTTAATTGCTTGTATTGAATTATATTTATATTTAAATTTTTATATGTTTCTGGAGAAAAGATCAGTACGATCTTCTTCCAGATGCCAAGTTTATATTATACAACATATAATAAATGTTAGAGAACTTTTGATGAAGTTGATGCGAATGTAACATAAGTTAAAAATGGAACACACCACAAAGTTGAATGTTTAGTTGCAATATTTAGTTGCAATGTTAGTTGATGTTTAGTTGCAATGTTATTTAGATTTTCGACATTTAGATCAATGTCTTAATGAAGACATTAAAAAGAGAATAATTTTTGGCTTTGAATATCTAGTTTTAAAGAGATAATAAATGTATCAAATGGTTGCTATACGCGTTGCTATAAAATTCCCATATTTCTTAAGGTGTTTGAGAAGATATTATTATTTATTTTTTTTTGTCATACTTTTTTCTCGAATAATATGTATAAGGTAAATTTACATTGAATATATTACTGGTAGGACTTCCAGAAGATCACACGATCTTATCATGAAGCCCTTTCTAATCTATATTAAAAGTTAAGTTACATAAATAAATTTACAAATATTAAATGCGTTTATATATTATAATACTCTTTAGATGTTAAGCAAGTTTTAACAATATTTTATAATATATGTGAATATATATAACAATATTTCTCAATATTTGATATTATGCAGAAACAAACAAACAAAAGCTCGAAAAATTACATCAGTTTTCACCAATATATATGTTATGTCAATATATAATAGGGTAGGGTGGGGCAAGAGGCCCAGGTGGGATAAAAAGCCCATCCTGCAGTTATAAAGAACCTAGGTAAAATATTATAATTATTGTTTTGTAGTATGAATGATAAATGTGTAACAGTGTTGCGAGCGAATTTTGGTGAATTTTTAGTAGAAATATAACTTTTAACAGAATATTGAAGACTTGACAGGTAATCAGAATAGGACATTTTGATTTTTTGCGTAATTTTAAAAATTTTTTGTAGATTATTGTTAAACTTAGTTGATTATTTAAATGAGTTTATGTATTTGTAAGCGTACAAATTATGTATTGATTATTTACATAACATTCATTGTACCATAGAATAATATATTTTTAGCAATTTTTGCACCGACCATTTTGGGGCAAAAAGCCCAGTTTGTTAATGGGGCAAAAGGCCCATCCTGAGCTTTTTACCCCTTGCATTATTTAAGTAGAATGTTCAAATTTTAACTTTATTTTATTTATAGATATGGTTAGAAATTACAAAAGGAAGACAAAAAGAAGAAGTTATGGAGCAGAAGGTTTACAACGGGCTTTAGATTCAGTAAAAAATGGTATGTCTTTGCGTAAAGCTGAAAACAGTTTTGGAGTTTCAAGGAAGACATTGAGAAGGCATTTGCAGGGCAAAGTAAAACAAGTTGGGAGCAATAAATTAGGAAATCATGTGAATACTTTTTCTATTGAAATTGAACAAGATCTTGTTAAACACATCCAAATGATGGAAAGAGCATTATTTGGATTAACTACGACGGATATCCGGCGGCTAGCGTTTGATATGGCCGAGCGACTTTACTTGAAGCATTCATTTAATACTTCCTCCAGGCAAGCTGGCAAGGACTGGCTTAGTGGTTTTTTGAAACGTCATCCAGAATTAACAATTAGAGTTCCAGAGGCAACTAGTATGAATCGAGCAGTTGAATTTAATCGACCAAAAGTAGACCAGTTCTTTACCGTTTACGAAGATATACTTACGAAGAATGCGTAGGGACCTCAGTCAATATGGAATATGGATGAAACTGGCATCACAAATGTCCAAAAATCAGGAAAAGTGCTTGCCACAAAAGGTGTTTGACAAGTCGGTAAAATAACTAGTGCGGAAAGAGGCACAACTGTTACAGTTATATGTGCAATGAATGCGAGTGGATCGTACATTCCTCCGATGCTAATTTTTCCTCGAAAAAGACTCATAGATCAATTAATGAAAGGTGCTCCTCCTGGCAGCATTGATGGAGCAAGTGCATCTGGTTGGACAGATTCGACTTTATTTCTTAAATGGCTGGAGCACTTTGCTCTTCATACATCAGCAAGTATTTCAAATCCCAAACTTCTAATTGTAGACGGGCATTACAGCCATAAGACTCTTGAAGCAACTGATTTTTGTCGCAATCATGGGATTGCAATGATAACGTTACCACCACACTGCACACATAAAATTCAACCACTGGATCGAACTTTCTTTAAGCCATTAAAATGTAGCTACAACTCCGCAGCAGATAGCTGGATGCGCACTCATCCAGGCAAGCGAATAACTCTGTATGACATAACAGAAATTTTTGCAACAGCCTATGCAACAGTTGCTGCGGTGGATAAAGCTGTGAAAGGATTTGAAGTGTATGGCATTTTCCCATTCAACAAAGCCATCTTTACAGATGATTAAAAATTTGATCATATAAAATTCTTTCAAGAATTTTAGAAAAAACTGACAAAACTGAAATTGGACGATTATTTTCAACATTTGTTAGTTCACCACCTTTATATATTGAGGTCACTTTTGCAACCTTCATTTGGGGCGGGAAAATTCCTTGACTTATTGAACAATTAAGAACTTTAAATAGAGTATTCTTTATATTACCGTATGATTTAATAACAATGTTTCCATTTAAATCATCTGGACCAATTGCTTTATTGGGCTTAAGCATTTTGAAAGCATTTTCAAATTCTGAAAAAGGCACATAGACCAGAGGTTAGAAGAAATTCATAATTATTGATTGGATTTATCATATTTGGAATGTTTTTTGAAAGATTAGGTCCAACAGAAACAAAGAATTTATTTAGTTCATTTGCTATTTCTTTAGGATCATCTATTATTTTATCATTAATTTTAATAGCTTTAGGTAGAGAACACAATTTCAAGTTTTGTTTGCCCGTGATTTCACTTATAATTTGCCAAGTGCGTTTTTCACTGATGCTTCTTTATCATTTTAGAAAAAAAAATTTTATGAAAAATAATTTCTACAATTTTTTTTTTTATTATCGTCCGAAGAAGCTAAACTTTTAATTTTGAAACAAACCAGGATACCACCTGTAACTAGATATTTGCTAAATATTATAGACAACCATAAATTTTTAAATATTATAGACAACCAAAAGAATAAAATTTCAGCAAGAATTATCCAAGAAAACTTAAATTTACTATTTTCTAAAAAAACACTGATTATGATACTAATTTTTTTAATCAAAAGTAATGTGCAGCCCATATAACCAATACAGGAGCGATTTTAGAAATAAAATAGGAGAAGAAAAAGAGGGGATAAGGAGGGGGGGGGGAATAGGATATCTATAAAAAGTGTTGATTGTCTTCTTTAAAAAAAAAAGCTCTTTAAATTCTGCCGACTGAATTGCGTAAAGTGCCGACTATATTACTAAAAGAAACGACTGTAATTTGATACGACATTTTTTTTTTTTTTTTTTAAGTTTATATATATTTGCTGTTTATATAATAAGAAAATATAATTACAAAGAAACATTTACATACAAAAAAAAGTTGATTTATAAAAACAGGCAGGGGCTCAAAGAAGATACGGATGACTAAAGTCACCACAATCTTTTCATAGAGCCCCTATGTGGGCTTTACAAGTTTAAAATAGAATAAGATTGTTAAAAATACAATTGTACAATTCCAATATAATAAAAAAAAAACTTTCATAAATATTTACATTTAAAGAAAGAAAGGAAATAGTATTAATATAATTTTAACAATAGTCATTTAAAAAATACTGACATTGTTTTAAAAATAAAAAAAAGACGCAATTTTTTTTTTCAAACTAAGAATAATGGAATTCGATGTTTATTTAAAGAAATTGCAAAAGTATTTATAATGTTTAAAAATTTCATTTTTTATTAAAAAATTAAAGGAGTTTAATGATTTTACCGTATTTAAATGTTTTGTTTTTTGAAATGTGTTCCATAGTTTCGGTCCACGGTAGTACTTGCACTATTAGTGAACAACCATGAAATGTAAACTTTTTTTATTCCATATTCAGAATACTTGCTCCTAATTCTAGGCAATTTATTTAAATACCTTCTTTGGGGGGAGGAGGGGGAAGTGTTGACGTACACACCCTTCAAACCGTCACTAACTTGGCGGGTTGAGACTCCTACACGCATTCTTTAAACCACCTATATAAAAGTGATGTACCGCAGCCTTTTAGATATTTATTTATTTATTTGTCATATATAAACATTTTCCAACGATTTTTTTGACGGTTAATTTTCTTTTTGTATTTACAATTTGCAAATTACAAAAACATTCAGTTTTTGCTTCACTCGGTTATTCAAATGTTGATGAAAAAATATCAAACTTTAGAGCTGTTGTTCAAACTCTTATTCAATCTGGAATCCGGTTTGCCCACCCCAGTTCTATTTCCTATATATATATAAATCATTGGCAGTCCCCACCTTAACTTATGGTATGGAGCTATGTGAAAATAATCCTGGTCTGATGAAAAAGCTAGATATAATTGGAAGGAGTGCGCTAAAATCGTTTTTAAATGTTTTGAAACATAGTAAAAACTATATGAATTCGTTATTTAAAATCCAGGAAATTTCAAAAAGTGTTCAACAAAATAAGTTAAACTTGTTCCTTCGACTTCTTAATAACAAAACAACTGCAGACATTATCTTTTCACAACTGCAACACCCGTTATTTCAACATTCGTTTGATAGTGATATTCAGGAACTATGCCGTCTTCAGATATTAAATTTTCAAAACCTAATTCAAAATAAAAAGAAGGTAAAAATACCACTTTCTAAAAGTAAAATTCCTTCCGAAGTTGAACGAAACTTGAAGCATGCAATAGAGTGCTGGAATGCAAAAGAGCAAAGAGGAGTTTTCAAGCAAATTCTGGAAGAAAACGTTTTTAAGCAAAGTCATCCGAAATAACTTTCTTATTTTTTTCTTTTTACCTTGTAAATTGGGTGTTAAATAAATAAAATAATAATAATTTAGGCGGTTTTTTCCGTTGGTTTGATTGGTTGTTTTTGCTTAAACTTGTTTATATTTTCAAATAGTCCTTTAATGTAAACAAGAAAAAACTTTTAAAAAAGAATGAGTTGAAATAAAAAAACAAACAGATTATTCAGGCTAAAAAATTTACTCTTTGAAATTAATTTTTCAATTTTATTTTTATATTTGATTAAAATTCTTTAGGTTTAGTTTAGATAATCAAATTAAGTTGAATGCAAAAGCACTCAACAACTCATTCCTTAATGAAAATAACAGAGAAAATAAACACTTTGCGGATATGAACATATAAAAAGCATTTGATACAATTACCCAAACGATACTTCTAGAAAAAAACTGCAACACTACGGTATTAGAGGTATTTTTTTTCTTTCTAGTTTTCCTCTAATTTTTGTAATAGAACACAATTTGTTTCAATTAATGGTATTAAATTTCAGATTAATTGGGAATAAAATAAAACTAGTTAACTCTCTCTTGGGATCAAATTAGACTCTAATTTATCTTTTGCATCTCATTTTTAAGACTTAGGATAAAAATTAGGCAGATCGAATGGTATGTTATCTTAAATCTGTCATTATGTTAATCATGAAACTTTGCTCAATATAAACCATGCTACTTTTCACTCTCATCTTAAATACACGTGTCAAGTTTAGGAAAAATCTAAGAAACCTGATTATTTAAGATTCATCACTTAGAACTCATCTAAAAAAGTCTTCTAAGAACTCACCCCTAAAACTTATTTATTTCCAATTCGAATTAATTCGAACTCTAACATGCTCTATTTTTTTTTATCTAAAGTCCTTAAACTGTTTGACCTTATTTAGCTATCAAATTGCTTATTTTTTTGCAACCAAAATCATACTAACCTACCTCTAACTTTTTGTAAGTATAGGGAAACTTGTTATTATATTGTATAATTTGCTTGCAACTTTAAGTTATCTGTATCTAAATATTGGACTGTTCATCACAGCTATAAATCCACACAATATAAAAGCACAAAAATATGGAATATTATTCCTTCACCACTAAAATCTCTTAAATCATTCTCATATTTTAAAACTGCTCTCTGTAAATATTTATTAGAAAAATGTTATTTATATAATAATAATAATAATAATAATAATAATAATAATAATAATAATAATAATAATAATAATAATAATAATAATAATAATAATAATATATATATATATATATATATATATATATATATTATTTGCATTCACTCCCAACAAGGCTGCAAGCAACCACTATTAAGTTGGGAGTTACTAGGAAAAAAAAGAACAGAGTTATAGAGCAAGGAAACAGTTGACAGAAGACTTGAAAAGTTGAAGGTTGTATGAGTCAGGAAAGCATGAAGATGGGAGAGAGTTCCAAAGGATTGAAGTGCGGGGAAAAAAACTAGATGAATAAAAGTTTTTAGAGCATGCAGGGACAGATACAGTAAACGAATGAGACTTAGCTGAATGATGAGTAAAACGAGAATGAATTTTAGTTGATGGAACTAGAGATGATAACTCCTTTGAGCAGTGACCATAATAGTATTTGTAGAAAAGAGAAAGAGATGCAACTTTACGACGATGGGAAAGAGGTTCAAGTTTAGCAGATAGTCCAGGTCGAACAACATTTACAATGCGTTTTTAGACCTTGTCAAAAAGAGAAAGTGAATCGTTAGAAGAACCAGCCCAAATATGACAACAGTATTCCATACAGGGAAGAATAAGAGATTTGTAGAGGTAGAGAATGGAATCAGAAGTAAGGAAATGGCGAGCACGATAAAGAGAAGCAACCTTAGCAGAAGCTAATTTGGCAATTGATTGTATATATGGTTTCCATGAAAGGTCAGTAGTAAGCAATAATTCAAAAAGACGTAAAGAAGAGGACTCAGTAAGAGGATTGCCGTTAATTAATATAGGAATGTTGACCATATTACGGTAGTTGTTTGCAGTAAACAACTGGGTTTTCTTAGAGTTGAAATTCACAAGCCACTGTGAACCCCAATCTATTACTGAAGTGAGATCGGATTCAAGATCAGCTGCTTGTTCTAGGCAGCTAAGAAAAGAGAAGACTTTTTCTCAAGACAGGAGTATAAAGTTGAGTCATCAGCAAAAAGAGCTACTTTAGATAAAAGGTTGTCAGGAAGATCGTTTATGTAGATAAGAAACAAAACAGGGCCCAGGATGGAACCTTGGGGAACCCCAGAAGTTACTGGAAATAAAGAAGAGTGTTGGCCTTCAAGAATGACTTTAATAAACCGGTTAGAAAGAAATGATTTGATAATTTCAAAAACTTTCCCAGAAACACCATATGAAGCAAGCTTATGGAGAAGACCAGCATGCCAAACTTTGTTGAAAGCTTTAGATATGTCGAGAGCAATAGCCCTAGCCTCACCGCCTTCATCTAATGCAGGATAAAATCTTTCAGTTCCAGCTGTTAGCAAGTCGGCCGTAGAGCGAGAGGATCGAAAACCGTATTGATTGTCTGACAGTAGTTTATTTGAATCAAGATGAGATGTGAAGAATTTGTTGGTCAAAGACTCAAAGACCTTGCTAATAACAGAAAGAAGACTGATCAAGCGATAATTGGAGGGGTCTGAATTTTCTCCAGAGTTTTTGAATATTGGAACCACAGATGCCATTTTCCAACAAGCAGGAAAACAAGACTCAGTCAAACACTTGTTAAATAGTTTAGAGAGAATTGAAGAAAGTTTTGGAGAACAATTCCGCAAGACTATATGAATATATATATATATATATATATATATATATATATATATATATATATATATATATATACATATATATATATATATATATATATATATATATATATATATATATATATATATATATATATATATATATATATATATATATATATATATATATATATATATATATATATTAGGGTGGGTCATAAATTTTTTTTTTCTTGTTACAGGCTCTAAACATTGCGAGTAGTTATTAATAGTGATACTATCAAATATGAGAATGATTGTGATAGATTTAAAGGGCACAACTTTATTGGGAAAGTTACCGGTACCCTAATATTTTGGAGAAAAAAGTAGGTCAACCTGGTACTCAAAGGAAGCGAAATTTTATAAAAAATTCAATAATAATAATTGCTTTATAAAAATCATATTGCCGAAAAAAATTGTCATTAAAAAACATGAAAAAATGCACTTTTTTTACTTTTAGTTAAAAAACCATAGTTATTATGCAATAAAAACTAAAATAATAATTTTTATATGAAAAAATTATAATTTTTGAAATTTTTATAAAATTTTGCTTTATTTGAGTACCTACATCACATAATTTTGAAAAACTTTTTTTTGAATAATAATAGGGCCTGCTAATTTTTGTAATTAAAGTTGCGGGTGGAAGACATGGTTCAATCCATAAAAGTAAATACTTTCCTAAATTAGTACGTAAAAAAATAACTTTATAGACCATAGCCAGGTTAGCAACTCTAAAAAAAAATTTTATGACCCACTCAAATATATATATATATATATATATATATATATATATATATATATATATATATATATATATATATATATATATATATATATATATATATATATATATATATATATATTTATATATATATATATATGTATATATATATTATATATATATATATATATATATATATATATATATATATATATATATATATATATATATATATATATATATATATATATATATGTTAGTTAGTAGAAAGAAATGATTGTGGTTGCAAGGAATCGAACTACTTGTTTTGGATGAGAGTATAAATTTTCTGTTCATTGAATTTTTCTCAGTGGTTATATCTCCGATTGTTAATGATTTGAAAATAAATATATACTTTGTCAACTTTGCAATGACATCGCAAATGCTGGACGCTTTTTTCTAACGGATAAAAATATGAATAAAAAAAAAAGGAAAAAAGGGAAAAGAAAACAATTATAAATTAAACAAAATAGTGAAATCAAATATAAAGAAGAATAAATGTTTTAAAAGAAGAAAAGAAAAAGAAATATCTAAAAGAAAATAAGTAAAGAAGTATTGAAAATATAAGTTAACATAAAAAAATTAATGAATGAAATAAATAAAAAGAATGGAAAAGAAAAAAACAAAAAACTATTTATACATTAGAAAAAGATCGGCAAATCAAGATTTTTTTTATATTTTCATATATTTCTTTAGTTTTATTTCATAAATTTCTTTAGTTTTCTTACATATATTTTTTAGGATTCTTTAATTACGATTTATTTTTTAGTGATGCTGTTATGCAGTCTTGTAGTAATGATTTTTCTTTAGTTTTTTAGCGTATAAAGTTTTAATATTTTTTGTTAGTGATTTATTGTTTTATTTCTTAGTTGTTAATTATTTTTTAATTGTGATATATAATTTTTTATGCAGTTATATATTATTTGTTTTTATTTTTATATTTAGCCATTTATATTTGTTTTATTTAACCGTGTATTCTTTATTTATTACTGTTTTATATTCTCAATTTTATCTTTTTTTGTTGTTGTTGTTGTTGTTGTTGTTTTGTTTTTTTTCTGCCAAAAGTACTTTTAAGGTATTTTTTTGTTTTGTTTGTAATGTTTGTTGTAACTTTTGTTTTGTTTTGATTTTCTCATCACTTTTCTGTTTATGTTTTTTTTTATTTATTTAGTCATAATATTTGCAATATATTTTGGTTATTATATTATAAAAACTATAAATAATATATTTACTAAATCTTTATCATTTTTTTAGCAATAATTGTTTTTATGTTATCGTTAATTGTTATGTTTTGTCAATTTATTACTGTTTGTAACTGTAACTTTGTATGTATAAAGGATTGTTGTATGGAAAGTAATACTGATTTATTATATTTATGGAAAGTTATACTGATTTATTTAAATTATTATAAATACTATACTATTATTGCTATTGTTTAAATAACGTGTTATTATTATTTATCATTATTATCATTAATATTATTTTTACTATTATCATTACTATTTTAAATCATTGTAATTTGGTGTTTACTTAATGTTGGTAGTTTATACTATTTGTAAACAACCTTGAAATGTAATATCAAATATTTCAGAAATATATTGATTGATGGTCAACATTATGCATAATTCTATACATATGCATCAAATCTCCATTAGTGTTGTGAGGTTTAATGATTCAAGTTTTCTTTTTAAGTTATCTACCAGTTTAGCAGCTTTGTGCAAGATTTTTTCAATAATGTCATGATTAGATTTGAGAAATGGAACCAAAATGGAACTGCAAACTCCAGTAAAATAAAAGTTAAATAATACAAATTAAGTAACATATGATAAAAAAAAAAAAATTCTTGGTGCAAACAAGTATTTGATTTGATTTGTTAAAAGCAGTAATGAATTAATTTTCCACTTAAGGTTTGTAAGGGAAAACATCCCAACACCACATTTTGTATATGACTCTGTCAAATGCTTACCATTAATATAATACAAAATGTTCTTGATACTTTGGCCTTAATGCATGACAGTCTATTTAGATATGTTAAACAGCAGAATCCAAGTTTATGATCGTTTACAGAGTTTGAAAACATTTAATAGTTCTTTCAGAAGTTTGATGTATACAGCCAATAAAAACTATCAAAAAATCTAGAAAAATTGCATCAACTGGAATATTGACATCTAATCTGTTAATAAATTTAACTGTTAGCGTTATCCTTATTTAATTACGAAAATATCTTGGAAACATTTGTTGAGCAGATAAGCTATTGACCTAAGTTCTGGAGTTAGATCACCATAAAAATGTTTTAAGTCTTTGATTGATTCTCAAACTACTTGTTGACTGTTCAAATATTTATATAGAAGCTTTGGAATTTAGTTTTGATCTTTCAACTAAAACATTTTCATATGCAAGACAAGCTAATTTTATTTCTTTTTTAATCACTTTGCAAGCCAGTTTGTACTATTTGCACAGTATGATCTGTAAAAGTAAGATCTATTAATTTATAAATACAATTTATATATCTGAGATTTTTCTTTTTTTAAATTAGATTATTAAGATCCGTATTTTTGATCCATTAAACAATTTTTTATTTGAAATATATCAAGCACTTGAATAAACTGAATACTTGCCACATCCAAAACTGAATACATGCCACACCCAAAAAGTGAACCAGTTTACCATACTATTCCTGAACTAATACTTCCAAATAGCCATATCCAATGACTTTATTCATAATAAAACCATTGGATATGGCTAAGCTCTAATGATTTAATAGTCTCACCAATATATTGACACATGCCATGACATCATTTGTGCACATCATTTCTGTCTATTCTGTATAAACAATAGCCATTTAGATTCATGACTAAGATGCTTTTGGATCACAATCACGAACTACTATAAATTGTGGATGATATGAATCTGCTAATACTTTAAACTAAATTAATTTGATTTGTAACTTTCTTCTTTCAAAGTTTTTGCTAACATTGTTTTTTCAGAATCTTTTGTTATTGCTATATAAAACGCATGTATACATATATAACCATACACATACATTGCATGTGCGTTATACACATGTATATACAATTACACACATACATACACATGCGTAGAAATTCATACTTACATACACATATGGATACGCAAATACACATATACATACACACATACTCATATACTTATTTTATTGTGTCATCTTGCATTTTCATGATAAACTATTTTGCTTGTTTAATAAACCTATTTCTATTTACTTGATTGGTAGATTTTTTAATTTCACTAGGTAGGGAGTTCCAGAAATGAATTGAATGATTTTTTATTGATTTGATACCATACTTATATGTCTGCTTTGATAGGATCGATAAGTTGTTGCAAGATATTGATTTAAGATTGTGGTTGTTAATATTACCAGTAAACTTGAAATAATTGTTGAAGCCCATTGGTATATTTTTGTGTATAACATCCCATTCAAATGCACTGTTCAACAAGTAGATCATTTGATCTAGTTTCATTATTTTTGATAGACTGTATAGTATATCTAAGTCAAAGCTATTTTGTTGAAAGCAGATTAATCTTATAGACTTATTTTGTAGATTTATAAGGTTATTTTTGTTTACAGAATAATTCTGTCCCCATATCTGGCATCCATAGTCATAGTTAAGGTGTGACCCAAAGATGGTATACCAGATATTTATTAAGGTTTTGTTGTCTACATAGTGTCTCACCTTTGCTAGCATCCCATTTGCACGACTCAGTTTGATGAAGATCGACTTTGATTGATGATTAAACAATAAGTTTTCATCTAGTATTACACCAAGGTACTTGATTTTATCAACACTATATAGTTTTTGTCCACTTATTCTGAAAAACTTATTATTAAAATAATAGACTTAATAAAAGATATTTAA